GCACAGGACTCACGGCCATTTGCTGGCTGGCCTGTTTGACTAGAAGCAGGTTCTTGAGTGAGATGAGCTCATTAAGTACAATCAATAAAAATCAACTTATTTTAAATCAATTTGTTAGCCAAGTCGAACCTTCTTTACCAATTCCGTTGGTCAACCCCTAGCATTGGCACACATCTTAATTTTCTATGTATTTTATTTTTTTTTTTTGGAGCAGCCCACACAAATAACACAATACAGTTGGATGCAGAGAGGGGTGGCTGTGAATAAGGGGGGACGGGGCGTGACAGCTTCAGCCTAAACGCAAAATAATATGCCAAACGGACTGAGCCATAGGGTCAGCAAGCAAACTGCAAAAGTCAGACTCAGTAAACATTTCCGTTTAGTATTTGGTTTAACATTTTTGCAATAGTCGGAACGAATTTAAAGCAATATTCAAGGAAGCAGAAGAGCAACAAAAAAGTTAGAAACAGCACAACCCAAGTGTGTGAGGTTTTTATTTTTTGCAGAAGGGTCCGCCTTAGACTGGAGCGAGCATATTTAATGAGAATGGGGGCATAGACAATGAATGTATGTATTTGCTTAGCTACGACCATAAATTTAACTAATGGCAGTCACTTTCGGTACGCACATGTTGTTATTTTTGTATTCGCAGGCAGCCCTGAAATACTATTCTAATATATGAAAGTTGTCTCTTTGGATGTGTGTGTTTTTTATATATATATATATATATATATTTTTGTGTTGGCCGAGAGTTTTGGAAAATAATTAGATTTTTTAAATTCTTCAAATTCTCATGCTGTCCAAAAAGGAATTTTGCAGTGAAATTTAATTAATTTAAAACAAACTCTGAGAAATTTGCACAAACATTCATTATGGTAACTAATTAAATGTAGGTCTTTTATTTCATGTGGATTGGGAACTAATCTGCTAGAGCCAAGTGCAATGACTCTTAGTCCAAGCTAAAATTAAAACATGAAAAAAGTTTTTCTAGTGAAAACACATTTCATATAATGTTGTATATATCTTGTTTAGGACAACACGTACCAACAACAAAACCATGTAGCCAAGCACAGACAGCAACAGCTTCCAACTTAATTCCCAGCTGCAGGCTGGTTTTACACAACAAAAAAAAAAGACAATTTCATCTCGGCCGAGGATGGCATTCTATGCAAATAGGAGCGACTATAAGTCTATGATATTAAATTGTATTATGTTACGCCATGAAACAACAATGGCAACGTCCACTCTTAAAGACTTTACTTTACTTTACTTTTCTGCCTGCCTGCCAGCCTGTCTGTGCCATGCACAACGAGATTTTGTCATGATTTTTGTACAAGTCCGCAATACGTATGAAAACAAATCAAGTAAAGGATGTTTACACACAAACACATACCACAAAACAATGTCCAGCAGCTGAGAGTCGAATATGCATTGCAAAGTTTTTGTTTTTTAAGTGGAAATAAAAACTTTAAGTTGTGCAAGCAATAGATGGAAGAAATGAAATATAAATATTGTCCATATATGCAAACAAATAACAATTGTCTAATACTGTCATTCATACTACTTGTTTAGTCTTCTTTTTGGCTCTTAGCTTAAAATATCATTTAGGGGCCCAAGCCAACCATGTCACATCTTTTAATGTCCAATAAACCAGCTGTCATAACGTTCATCCTATATGTCTACCGCTCATAAGCTCACCTTATAAAGCGCTTGCACTGAGACCATAAAACTTCCATTTCACAGCATTTTGATTAGTCCGGCTTCCATCTGGCCCATTGGGCAGATCACATTTTGCCGCTTGTCCAACGCGTCACTGCGCTCAAGTCATCAACTTGTCAGTTTTTGTTGAAACAAACATATTGGTAGTGCGACCTCGGCCAGATCTCAGACGAGGCGACTCGAACCAGTTCTCAAAACGCCCTTGAAGGGGTCTGGCAAAAGCCCAAACAGGAGTCGTGTCTGCAGACATGCTAACTATGGCCATAAATCAAATCAAGTGCAACAACAAGTGTAAACTCAAGAAAGCACAGCTAACTTTATAGTGTCGCCGATTGAATACCCTATCTAAGCTGTATTCTACGGTCTTCTTTTCAAAATTGATGTTGTTTATAATCCAGATTAAAATTTGTTTACTTATTAGCAATAAAGCCTATATGTACTTAAATTAATATTGGACAATATTTTAATAAAAGTTTTCCATTATTAATCTTTTCGATTATATATATAAAAGGAATTCATCAAAAAAATTGGTGTATAGATTACACACATATAAAAGAACCCAATCAATGAAATTAATGGGTATGGACTATATATAGAGTATATTATAGGAATAGTTGCGCAAAAAATCTCACCCCATAACAGAGCATGGTACGAACGGAACGAGAGCAGACGAGACGAAATCTTAAAGCAGCAATAAAATTCAATGTTGGAGTAATTGCCTGCCGTTGACTTTAGGAGTATACAAATGCCATAACTCGACAGATAGTTAACCCGTCCAAGACAAAAGACTGTGCGGCTCCGAGCTCTAATAAATTAACCATTATGCCAAGGCATTTGTTTTTACAGCGCAGACGATGCGTTGCCGAAGTTTATGCAAATTGTTGCGTCTGATGATGTGTGATATGTTATGGCGATATATGAAACTATTTCACACACACATTCACACACACACGCTTGCGAGATGGCGAATGACCAAGTGTCATACACAATGGCAATTAACCCAATTCGCTGGCGTTGTTAATGCTGTTTTGATGATGGCTTCATCACGCCCATAGGCGGCAGGCTGCATGCTGCCCCTAATAAGTATGCAACACACGAGCTGCACACACAATTTACACTGCAAATTAATGGGTGGCAATAAGTGCCAGGCAATTGAGGCCAACAAGCAGGTCCTCTCGTGCCAGCTGTTGATACTGGCAGTAGGAAAAATGTTTGTTTGTTTCTAGTCATCTAATAAGTGCATGCTATCAGCTTATTTCGGGACTTGCTGCACAGTTTTGGGCTTAGTTTAAAGCAATTTGCGTGCTCTGTAAATTTTGCCCGCAATCTTATTTCAGAGCTAATTCCAGTTTCTTGACACTCTCCAACACTCTCAGTGCTGACCGTCTGACGGACATTTGGAACCGCCCACACAAAAACCTCCTATGTATGCATATACTGTTATATATTTATTTATATATATATACTATATTTATCCGTATCCACATGAGTCGTCAAATTTATCGCTTGAGGCTATTACGGCACCAACAACTGTTGCCCCTATAAATTTTTTGACAAATTTATCAGAGCGTCGCAGTTGCCGTCGGCGTCTCTGCTGCTGTCTCAGCCGCCGCCAGCGTCAACGCCACATGACGTTCATTATTTTTCAGCAGGCGCTCAGCTCAACTCATTTTTCTTGGCCCTGGGCAATTTTGTATGTAGTAACATATAAGAATATAATGAAAAAACCAGAGTAAAACATTCTGTGTTAAATATTTTACATGTTTTATTCCTTCGGCAACTTTGATTTGAGAACTCGCCCAGCTTTTCTTTTTGGCCTTCTGCCGGCAGCGCCATTCAAATTGTCAACAGCTTCCCCGGACTTGTTCCAATTTTGTTTTGGGCTCGTGCATTGGTAAAACAACTGGCCAGAGAATTATCCTGGGTTGCGTCTTCTCACTTCGCTTTGCTGTTGTTGTTGTTCTTTCCGTTTTGGTCCCAGATTGTCTGGCACGGCTGCCAGTCAGTCAGATGCTTCAGTTACGGGCTCTTATGCTTTTTATTCGCAGTGCTTGTATAAAACAGTTTTTGTCTTGATTTCATGTTGAGACATTTACAAATTATGCACCACACCAACGCCTTGAGGTCACTTGTTGTGTCCGTTTTCGTTGCTGTTGTTGTTGACCCAGTCAAATCTATGGCTACAGCAGTTACTCTTGTGGCAAATGTCTGTATCGAGTTCACAGTTCAAATGTCAGGCCAGCAAATTGAGTGACAATGACGCGGTCGACGCCTAACCGACAGACCCAAAGCTGAACGCGGGTCAAAGAGCCCAGGGCGGCTCTTACCTTGAATGTAAAATTATTTCAAATGAGATGTGTGTCCCTGGAGTGTATTATGGGTCAACTGATATAGCCTATTTTACATTTGGCAAATTTTAAAGCAGGGACCGTAACGTTTGTTATATAATTTAAAATAGAGTGCTCTTACCCATTATAATTACAATAAAATTGGCAACTGTTACATGAGTACATTCAAATGGCGAGAAAGAACAAGAGAAAGTGAAATGGAGTAAGATAGCGATTTTCTTGATTTTAACATATACAGGCAGGATTTTATCTTATTTAAGGTATAGTGAAGAGGAGTAGAAGTAAAAATACTGATAATGAAGTCAGTAAGAAAGTAGACTAGAGCGGGACAGCATTATTAAGAGAAATATTTCAAGCAGAAATTGTGTTCGAGAAATCCCATTAATGAACGAAGTACCTTTCAGGATCCACTTTTCAATTAAATAAGTAAACTTTAAACTGAAAAAAATTAAAGCTAAAATAATGAAAATATATGCAATAAGAATGTTATACACGGTTGCCATTTTTTTAAACGAATAGCTTGAATATTCTTGCCCTTTATTTTTTATATTCATGCTTTTGTCATATAAACTTAAGTAGAAATCCCTTGGCTTATGCCGCACTTGGGGTGCCTCATTCATCTGACATAATGCACTTTAATCAAGCTGTGCTTATTATAAATTAATTTAGTTGGAAGTCAGCCACAGCAACTCGATTAGTTTACCTGGATAGGCTTAACACAGAGCTGCCTCAACGCCATCTCTACCAATCCCCTGCCTTGGTATTACAAGCCATTCCGCTCATTCGCTATGCACAGGCACCGAGAAACAGCCGGGGGCCTGACTGTCTGATGGGGTCTGAGGAGTGCCCGAGTGCCCCCTTGTGTTTCTATGTAACTGCATTTGTGATACCTTGAGTTATTTCATGTACCTTTCTATTTTATTGCATTTGCAGCTAAGACGAAAGCAACGTCAAGCCATGGACAGTAATGGATCTGGAGTTCTGGTAAGTTTTTTATACCCTGTACCTTTTGATTAAGTGAAAAAGGCCATAACGAAGTTATGTCATAAATGTTAACCGTGATTTTAATTTGATATATTTTGAAAGTATTATTGTCAAACAATTTTAACAGTTTTGATAATAATTTGTTAGAGCTATATTCTCGGTTTCGGTAATGTACATAAGGTTTAAGAGAGTTTTCCAATGCATGGAGTCAAGGGAAGACATGATTATTACATGAACTATATATAATTACAAATATTAAAGAAATAAAAAAGAATTAATACACAGAGAACAGGATATATTCTAGTAAGGAACCCTTGATTAAAAACTTTAAATCTGTTATTATTCCATTTGCGTCAAAGCGACAAGAATATTAGAAGCTGATGAATTATTTAAGGGCTGTTGTTTGCAAATGATACCCAAGTAAATATTTTATAAAAAATGTTTTATAGTAAATATTCAATTGTCTCTTATGCTTTTATGCATACGCCATTTAAAATGTTAACGTCAGACAATCCACAACCAGCGTTTAAACATGAAAGAAAGATAAATATTTTGAACTTGTTAAATAATTCATCGAGCGAACCGGCGAAACGCAAATTCTGAGCTGTTGACTTTTTAAATGGTATTCGCTTTGTACGCTATGATACGGGGCTTAAAATTATGGATTCCATTTTATCGCAATCGAAAAAAAGCACATATGAATAATATGAAATAAAATCATATTTAAGGCTTGGAGTCGATTCGGCTTGACTGGGTTATCAAATAAATGATGCTACGGTCGCGCTTGTTGACCTGTCATAAAGATGACAATTTTTCATACACGAATAAAGGAATACAAATTGAACGAGCACAATTAAAAGTTCAAAAGTTTTTTCGGCCTGTTATTGTTTCACATTGATTCATTTATCAAGTGAACCGCACCACGTTTGCGGTCACATTTCACATATTTTATATTATTTTCATGTTGAGCAATTGCTGATAGTGACACTTGCAACGTCGGCTGTCGCAACAATTTGTCACGCTTGCTGCATGTCAAGCCAACTGGCCGGACAAGCTAAAGTATTCCTTCTTCCCTCTGCCTCTGGCTGCATTTAAAACACCATGTTTTAGCTATGTTCCAATGAAATTAATTATACACTTATCTGACTGACATTTATTGTAAAATCTCATTGCCTGTTATTTTTGCTCGGCTCCCCTCATGCACGCTGTCGTCGACATCGTCTTCTCGGCTTATGTAAAACAATGTAAATAACGTCACGGGTGATATTTTGATTATGAGACGAAAGCAGGGCATACGCAAACCCGCCAACTGTCCCTACCCACACACAGACAGTTGCCACATCGTTCTAGCTGGTACTCCCACTCACCTATATAAACTTTTACCGGGGTCCTCCCAAAGAAATGCGTAATTATTGCACAGACGCACGAGCGCCCCAACCTGCTCCTCTACAGCTTGTACACGTGTCCAGCTGGGGGGAAAGTGGGGCGGGCATTAGACAGCTGACAGCCTGGCAGCTGGATGAAATTTGCGCCAGGCAGATAATGCAAAGGTGTGGATAAGCATAATGCAAGTATGTCTAATTGTGGCATAACATCTGTACAATATCCGAGTGGAAAGTCCTTTGACAGTAAGTGGATCGGGGAAGACTATTTAAGAATGCATTGCTGCATCTTGGGCTACTTGAGTTTATTTAGATATTAATTAAATCCAAGCATGTAAGATACATGATTCGTATATATTGTCTACAAAGGGATTAATCATTAGCTCAGAGTCGAGTCCCTTGGCTTATGTCTACAAGCTGTCAATTTGATTGTCGCATCGCACAAACCTCAATAGACCTGGGACCAGACCAACTGATTAGTGATTTTCAACCCTTTTCAAACAGGGACAGAGACGACAGCCTGTCAAACATGTCTTTGGCTGTGTTGGGCTTTGCTAACACTCCAAACAGTCGAAATCTCAGCTGAGCATATGCAAAATAGATATTCACAAAGTGGCTGGCTGTGGTTTAAATGGATGGGTGGGTGGTTGGGTGTTGCAGCCACCTTTGAGTAGCAATTTTAATGAATTCTGATAACGTTACCGACTACTGAGTTGTCTGACTGCTCCTTAAGGGTGTGGCTAAGATCTAAGCAAAGGAAAGTAATTACAATTTTCAATGCTCTGCACACCTGACGCAGTGGGCGTGGCAAGTTCTTATGGGAATAATCTTCCAACTGTCTTCTGACAACGTTAAAAAAAGCAAGGGACAGTGAGAGAGAGAAAGAGAGCAAAAAGAGATAAGTTAATGAAGCTGCCGGCAAATTACAAGCCATCATGACTATGAGTAGCACAGTATTGACCATTACCTGCCACTGCTAAGCGCCAGTTGTAATTAACAGGACTCGGACTTAACATTGAACTGCGCTGTTAACTCACAGTGTACAGCGCTCTGTAGTTCTCTTAATCCGAATATTTCCCACACTGTTACTCTCTGAAGTCAGTCGGGATTCCAGTTGCTGCTGCTGGAAAAGCCGCCAAAAAATCAGCTGTTCGCTGGTTTTGCGGGCGAATTGGTTTTAATTTTTTCGATTGCCGCATTTGGCATGACAAACAATAACAAATAATCAGCTTCACCTTGACATCACAAGGGGGTTGGAATTTTAATTGAATTTTATTTATGCCGCAAAATGTCTTTAAATTCCGACGACGATAAGGATAAGCCCTCGCGACATGGCTTATACCCCCACTGAGCCTATAAATTTGTCACTTCCTCCCGCACTTTCCCCACTCGTGTGTTGACTTTAGCCGGCAAATGGTGCGTGTCCAAATCGCATATCGACATCTGACGTGGGCGACGAGGCCACGGGTCGGAGTTAAGTCAAGGCGTTGTTCAACGCTTTGAGCAAATAAAGGGAGCAACAAAAGCCCGAAAATAAAACGAAATGAAACAAATGAAAATCGACGATAAATAAATTGCCGGCAAAATGTTTTTATCGTTGTGTAGCCTTTGACACATTTGTTTAATGGCCGCCAAAATAATTCAACTCGAATGCGGCCCCCATAGCGTATGCGCAATTAAAATATTTTGCGTGTGTTATCGCAAGCCAACGCCCTTGACAAGTTGTTTGCCCAAAATTTGTTGTACATTGTGTTGCTTTTCTTTTCCCCATGCGTCTATAAGCTATTTGACAATTCGTTTATCTGATAATTTCAATATGTTTTAGCGGCATTTTCATATGCCTTAGCGGCACATAAATCTTATACTTAGCAGAAAAACTTGTGAACAAGTGTATTTCAAGTCTTTTACTCCCAATACCCTGCTTTGCTATAAATAGCTGAATGGCCTTCTGACTAAGCGAGGTGTACCCAATATAAAAAGAAGAGAATGCTTAAAATTACATTTGCAAGAATTTCGATTTGCCGCTCACAGATGTAAACATTAAAGAATTTATTAAACAAACTTTTTAACTATTTACGATCAGAGAAAATCGCCCTTGTAGGTTTATTCTGTAGATTTAGACAGGGTATAATTCCGCTGAGCAGCCTTATTTGGATTTTTTCCTTTAGATTTTATTATTCACTGCGTATTGATTTATGACCTGATACTAAAGGGAATTGGCATCTATTAGTTAGCTCAGCTCACAGAATTCTACTTCTACTCCATCTCCAATTGGTCATTTAAAGTGCTACTATAATTCCAACAAATTCATTAGCTCTCTCTTAACTTTCAGAAGACGAACAAAGTTTTGATATTAATTTTTATTGTTTGGCATTGCTGTTTCCGCTTGGAACGTACTATTGCTATCCCCCCTTTGATCCCAGTTGGCTGGCTTTAAAAACGCAAATTAAACGCTTGCGGCTTGCCACAACTGCGTTTCTCTCTCATATATTGGTGCCGCTTAATGCTTCTAGCTCGGGAGTACATTGTTTTTCCATTTGCGCGGCTCGTTTTAATTGCAAACCATGCAAAATGGGCCACGTTATTGTTGGCAACTGTTTGCTCCGACTGTGATGGGCTGGGCTTGGGTGGCTTAGCTTAGCTTGGCCTGGCTTGAGTTGGATGGGGTTGGGTTATTGCTGATGTTGCCAGCTTTTTGGCAGCGTAATATCTAATAATTTCGCATTTTCTGCGTTATATTAGCCAGCAATTTGTGGTCTTTGCAAATTTGTACAACATTCAGTTGGGGCTATGGTCAAATATAGCTAATGCTGCATCATTAGATTTTAATGTAAACTACTTAGTTGCGTCTCTATTACTCCAATAAATAAGCTCTGTTGGAAATCGAATTTTTACTTGGAACTCTATATATTCAACCTTTTGGCATACCTATCAAACTTGCGTGTCCTGACAAGGCAAGGGACATTCCATAGCATGTCCACAAAATGCCAATGTAAATGGATCAAAGCGCTTAAAATCGAATAGCGGTTGGGAAGAATAAAGAAAACATATTTTGTGCAGTGAAAAGCGTTTTATTGACAGTCGTTAAAAGCGGCCGCTCGTAATTTAATTTAGAGTGTAATTAATTTTGTTTATTATTTGCCACGAAGCCCTTAGACAGCCTAAACAAACCCCAAGCCTGAACCTTTTGACCTGACCCTGGCAACAGCTGCCTGACAGCCTATGGAAAAATGCCTGTATATTTGAAAAGGTCAAATTTCTGTTGAAATTAACTTTTGAAACTGTTTTTCAGTCAAAAGTTTTGTGCTCGAGCTTTTATTTATCTGCAAATATTTTTTTACGGCTTAGGTAAACAAACGAGTTCAGTTTTGCTTAGTTTTGTCAGTTTTTTAGTTTTTAAATTATGCTTGAAAATTAGATTTTGATTAAAAAAAAACTTTTAACAAAGCAACTGTTTTATACAATTTTTACCCCATATGTATTACATCCTTCCAAATGGTCTTTAAGTATAATTTTTAAGTGTTGGCTAATAGACTTGTAAACGTGTGGCTTGTGTGTCGGTTAACTCCATTTATAATCCACAAGGCAATTACCAAGAAGTGGCAGACAGTGTCGCAA